GCCCCGGGTCCCTGTGCCCGCCCCGGGCCCCTGTGCCCGCCCCGGGTCCCTGTGCCCGCCCCGGGTCCCTGTGCCCGCCCTGGGTTCCTGTGCCCGCCCCGGGTCCCTGTGCCCGCCCCGGGTCCCTGTGCCCGCCCCGGGTCCCTGTGCCCGCCCTGGGTTCCTCTGCCCGCCCCGGGTCCCTGTCCCCCCAACGGGTCCCCGTGTCACCAAGGGGTCACTGTGCCGGCCTTGGGTTCCTGTGCCCATCCCGGAGTCCCTGTGTCCCCAGGGGATCTCTGTGTCCCCAAGGGGTCCCTGTGTCTCAAAGGGATTCCTGTACCCCCAAGGGGTCCCTGTGCCCTGGGTGTTCCTGTGTCCCCAGGTGGCCCTGTGTCCCTGGTGGTCACTGCTGTCCCCAGGTGTCCTCTGAAGTCCCTGCACCCCTGAGCATTACTGTGTCCCCGGGGGGGTGGGTGCCTGTGTCCCCAGGGATCCCTGTGTCCCCAGGTGGCTCTGCTGCTGGTGTCAGCAGGGGTTCCTGTATCCCCCAGGGGTGTTCCTGTGTCCCCAGAGTTCCCTCTGCCCCCCCTGCCATGGCCCTGTGTCCCCTGAGGTCCCTGTGCCCAGGACTCCTGTCCTCGGAGCCTCTGTTGTGCTTTCTGGGGTGCCCCAAGCTCCCCTGTGCACCCCAGACTCTCCCTTCTGCCTTTCAGCATTCACCAGCCTTGGCACCATCTGACTGTTCCCTCCCAGCCCACCCTGGGGAACACCTGGAGCGGGTGAGGGTGACGTGGGGACACATCCCTCCGGGCTGGGGACACGTCCAAACGCCCCATGCCATGAATTCACTCCCATCCAGGGTGAGAGGAATGAGACTTTATTTTGAACAGCGAGTTAATCTCCAATCCCAATCATTCCAACCAACTTCAATCCAAACCCTTGCCATGACAGAGCAAGACAAACATCACGATTCCTCAGTGAACACTAGAGGCATCCTGGTCCTAGGTTTGCAAACACTTCAGCAATGGATCCCCCCCCAATTTAATTTTCATTCCTATTAATCCCCCCAGGTGTCAAAATAAAAAGACCAGACGCAGCCCTGCAGCACATCCAGCACCCACCAGTCCTCACACGGACACACAGGGGGTCCGAGCACTGCCCGGCCCTGCCCGGCACCAGGAAAAGGCTCCTCCTCCCACAGGGAGCTCAGTCGGATTTCTCCTTCTCCTTCATGTGCAGGAAGACGATGCTGAACATGAAGAGCCCGACCATCATGGAGAAGGCACCGGCGTAGTAGGGATACGCCGAGGGGATGAACCGCTCGTACTGCGTGTGCTGCAGGGGCCGCACGGACACCTGGGGGGACAGAGGGGCAGCCTTGGAGTGGGGGAAGCCTTTCCTCCCGGGAAACGGTGGGATTGGCTCCCGCCACACTCACCTGTGTGGAGGAGTAGAGGTGGGTGTAGCCCAGGCGGTTGTAATCCACCTTGAACTGGAACACGCCGTAGACGTCCGGCAGCTTGAACTGCACACTGTACTTGCCACCTGAGGGCGAGACAGGGGTGACACTGGGGTGACACCAGAGGCTGGGGACAGTGAGGACACCCCCAGTGTGGGGCTAGGGCAGCGATGGGGACCCACCACTCCCCTTGTGGGAGACCTACTGCTCCTCTTGGGGGGGACCTGCAGCTCCTCCTGAGGGGGCCTCACTGCTCCTGTGAGGGGCACGTACCATTCCTCTTGAGGAAGGTCCTCACGAAGGGGTCGATGCGCACGAACTCCAGCTGGATGTCGTCCCCGTCGAAGGGCACCCACCTGCCGTCAGCAAGCTTCTCGATCACAATGCTGTACTCCTGGGACACACCAACGAGCAGCGCCTGAGAACGGACCTCGACCCACTCCGGGCTCAAACGTTCCCAGATTCCTCTCCCAAGGCACCTCCCGTGTGCCCTCCCGCCCGGGCCAGCCCGGCCCCCTCACCACGAGGTCGGTAACGGTGTAGGCGTTGGGCGGCGCGAGCTCCCCGACGCGGTGGTGGGACACGGCCCCCACGCGCAGAACCCCCTCCTCCTTGAACACCCAGCGGGACAAGGCCACGGCCAGCTCATAGTTACCCGTCTGCGAGTACCTGCGGAGCAAGGGAGGCTGAGACAGCTGGGAAAACACACCCTGTGCCAAAACCAAACCAGGAATAAACGGGAAATGAACAAAAACTGAGCCAGGGTTAAAGGAGGGAATTGCTTCCCAAAGCACATTGCTCCATAAGGCCAAAGGAATGCGTCGCCCCCAATTTACTTAAAGCTTTCTGCTCTTTCCCAAAACACAAACATTTGTTGCCTGTTTCCCAGGACTTTTGCCATCGAACCGCTCCCCAGCCATTCCCCAGCCAGGGACGCCAGGAAGCCAAGGCACCTCTTGGAGCCAGGAGTGGCCTTCTGCACGGCGGAGTTGAAGAAGGCGTCGCTGAAGAAGTCCAGGGAGCCGCTGAACACGACGCGGGCGTTGTTCCGGGCCTGCAGCCCCGCGATCAGCAGCGTGTTCTTCCCCACGGCGTGAGGGTACTGCAGGGCAACGAGGGTGCAAGAGGGTTTAGGCACTTCAGGGATGAACACAGAAGAGTTTCCTGTGCTGTGGGACAGTCTGGCTGAATCAGCACAGGCAGCAATTAAGGAGAAACCAAGCAGATCAGAATAAGCAGGAATGGGACTCAGATTCCCTCTGTGGCTGGGATGGGACCAGGAGAGACACTTTATCTAGGCTGGCCTCTCCTCTAAAGCATGGAGGATGTGTGTCCCTCACACTGAACACTTCCCACCAGCAGGAAGCAGAGAGGAAGATTCCCAGGGCGACACTGGGAAGCAGCCGACAGCCTGTCCCTCCCAAAATCAATTAGGAGATCCAACATTTTCCCAAGGTGCAGAAATTTGAGGGACTTAATTGTGGAAGTACAGCTCAAAAGAGGAGAGAAAGTGAAGGAGCTTACCTGAGTGATGGGCTTATCTGGGAAGAAGGAGTAAGAGGTGGAAGAGCCAGTCAGGATATCCAGCACCAGTGGGTTGTCAGGATCAGCCACCATCCTTGCAGGGAAAGCCACAGTGAGCAGCACAAAGACCCCCAGGACCCCCACATCCAGAGGAATGCTCAACCCCACAGACCTCCTCGCCCTTTGGCTGGGCCAAGAAACTAAGTATTTCCTCAAGATCTGTGGTCAAACTCCACTAATTTGTTAGGAGCCGTTCCTAGGTAAACAACTAAACTCCTTTGGAGAATTTCCTTCCATTTTGTTTGAAATCAAGAGAAATTTCTTATGCTCACATGAGGAGTGCCAGCGCTGACCTTACGCTCAGCTCACAGCAACACCACTGGTCTAATTCCACTTCCCCAGCGACCCCCATCTCGCCCTGTCCCTGCTCACCCAACTCCTCGGAACAGGATGGGGTTCAGAGCTGCCTTCCCCACAATGGTGGGGGCCTTCAGGAGATTCTCCGTGTCCGCCACGATCAGAGTGTGCTGGGAAAACGAGAGAGATCGGCGTGAGCTGTGTCAGGGTCTAATGACAGGCAACAGCCTCTCAATTAAAAGTTAAATTTATTCTTACAATCTCAGCTGTTGGATGAATGTTGCAGTTAATTAAAAAGCAAAGACCCAGCATTTTTAATTATGATCAAATTAAATTAATACTGATCCATGAGGAAATATAAACTGCCTTTTGATAAAGACAGCAATACCCACAGTGTTTTACTTCCCTGTATTCAGCAACTTTCATCCTTAAACCAAGATGATAAAATTCTTAAATCTTAAATCAGGATTCTTAAATCCACATACTGCTTCAACAGTTTAATTTAAATAAAAATTAGCAAAATATATTTAGCTCAGACTTTAATACAGGCTTTGATTTTAAAGTGCTGGCTGACACAAAAAAATATGTGTATGTTTCTATACTGATCTGAAAATCCTTCTATTGATCTGAAAATCTTGATGTGAAAATTTGGGGCTGAAGATCTCCCTTTCCACATCCAAAGTGTCCCACTCAGGGTCTGGCACACCTCACCCAGAGGTGAAATGCCCCCACACACACTTCAGAGAGGTCCAGAACCAGTGTTAATCACAGTGTCACTCAAACTACAATCTGATGGATCTGAATGCTGCAACACAGAGTATGTACCACTTTCCTGGGAGGAAGGTGGGAGAGCAGAAAAGGGATGGAGGAAAAAAGGGAGAACAAGGACAGAGGATTTATCTCTAAACCTTTATGCTTCAGTTAAAGCTGCCCCAAAGGTGCAGGCAAACCATTTACCTGTCCAGGGTCGGATATATCATAGTTGTGATGGTCAATCACTGCTGTCCTCTCCTCGTCAAACTCGATCCCACACTCGCTGCCCAGCTCCCTCAGTGGGTCACCTGCAGGGACACAACAGATTCTCCATCACCACGACACATAAACATCAAAGAAAAAGCCAATTTAGCTTTAAATCCATGTGTTCAGTGCTCTACAAGCCAAACCCCAAGGAGCAAAATGACCTCCCCAGCTAAACTCCCCCTGAACGTGTCACTCAAGGCATTTATCACCCACTTCCTTCCAGAACAAACCTTGAGGTGCACAACGAGGAATGAGAAACTGTGTTTGCTCACAGGTTTTGTTGCAGGAACTCAGTTACTGTTG